CCCCAAAACCCCAAAACCCCAAAACCCCAAAACCCCAAAACCCCTATAATTTAAGCAAAAGTTGAGTGATTTGTAGGGGAGTTTTAATGATCGAGAATGGAACCAGCAACATCTTGGAAGTTACGGAAGAACTCACAGAAGAGATTGTGGTAGTAGAGGGTATCTGTAGTTCCACATATTTCTCGACAGGAGTGCATGGAAAGCTGGGGAGCTCCGATATCGATCACTTTCATACCAACAGTTGAAGCCAAAGCAGGGCCGATTGTGGATCCACATGGAAGATCTTGCTTAATCATGAAATCTTGGAGAGGAACATCAGCTCTATTTGCAAGCTCTCTGATTATTGCACTATTTACTGAGTCTGTCATATATCTCTGGTTACAGTTAGTCTTTAAAACAATGCCTTTATGCATCATTGGAGTATGTTGAGCCTGATGCTTATCTGCATAATTAGGATGAATAGCATGAGCCATATCAGCAGAAATACATAAAGAATGTCTCAATGCAGATTTATATCCAACATCAATCATTCCTTCATTAAAAGAGGCATAAATCCTTTCAAGGCTGTCTTTGACAAGGACTCCATCTGCGCCTTGATCAGACTTGGATCCAACTTCTTCATGATCAAACAGATATATCATATTCACTGAGTTATCATCTGGGATATCTTTAGAAACATCTAGTAAAGAATGTGTTGCTACTAGAGAGCTGAGCATGTTATCAAGCCTTCCGCTTGATATGAACTCCTTATGAAGACCCATCAAGCAAGACTTATTGGTATCAACCATTGAGAGTTCAAAATCAACAATGTTTTCAGCTTTAGTGTCGATTTCTCCTGCCATTAAATCTAGGAACGATTTAAGATGCTTCTTCTCGATAGAATACCTCGATTCCTTCACTATCTTCTCTTCTTCATCAGAGCTTGGATCCATTAAGGCATCTATAATCGAAGTAGCAATGATTGGCTTCAAATGCTTCTCCTTATTAGTTCTTTCATCTGCTGATCAAAGATGAATTGCTAAATTGGGAATTCTGATAAGAGGGTTCTTGTGATGCCAGAGTTTATCTTCTAATCTCCCAGTATCATCATTGTAAGTAACAACTCTTCCAGCAAAAGTGAGATCTCTATCGAACCAAGTATTCCAGATGCCTCCTCCGTATCATTGGACCCCCATTTCTTTATACCCAGCCTTGTCAATATTAGAAATAGGAGCAATTCGAATAGTAGGAGAGTCTGTATGGCATCCTACTAGCTTAAAACTGTTAGGAACACTTCCTTCTCTTACATTCTTGCCTATGGCAAAAGCTCAGATTGAGGAATTATTTCTAGTGAAGTAATATTTTGACCCGCCTTCAAGCTCCCATTCCTCTGTTTCTTTGAGTTCCTTAAAATCCTGTTTATGTAGCAAGGATTTCACAGTTGCTACAGAATGGAAAGGAGATACAGCTTTGTTGAGGCCATTTACAATAGTTTGAGAATAAGTCTGAGCCTCTCTAAATAACTCCTTAGTCAGCCTGGTTGCCATGAAAATCTTTGATATTTTTAATAAAATTTCATAAGAAAAGGGGTTTTGGGGTTTTGGGGTTTTGGGGTTTTGGGG